CAAGCATGGGTTACTGAAGACCAATTCTAACCTGGATCTTCACGGGGGTGTTGGGACTCAAACATGGATCTTCGGCTAGCTTAGCTTTTCCCCAAGCCGCGAACCAAGACAGTTAAGTGTTTATCCGATGCTACAGAATAGCATTTAAATTACCCTGAGTAATAAGACCGCCATAATAAACTGCATAGCTATAAGAACATGAGATTGCCTCCTGTGAATAACGGCTCAAATCGAGGCAAATTAAATAGGCATAGATTGGTAACAAGCTAAAATCGTCCGGGAGCCGAGACATCCGTATTATCGGAGTCCGGACTAACGGGGCTTCACTGTATATAAAAAACAGAAAGAAATTACACATTTTAGGTACATAAGTGATAAAACACAAGAGGCAACTACAGTACTTCCTAAAAACGATATCCGGTGATATAACAATCAGTTAGGACTTATGCGCAGAAAAGGCAGAAAAGTTACATTAATAATTTTTACGATTATGTATGCTTCGTCGAATATAATTATCATTTACAACAAATACTCATTTTGTAAACTTAAAAAAACCACATACATGGTAGCAACTCCAGTCATGGGTACAAAAGCAGACAATAGCTTCAGGATGTTTTACATGTTATTATCTTGATCACTGTGGATGTTTGTTGAACGTAACATGCATGTACATATATCTTATATTTTGGGATTGCACTTTCTCAGAAAAGAACAAATTCTAGTACTTTTGTTAGGTTAATCCCATCTGGGATTCCAACTTTTTGGAAGCCGGGGTGGCTGAGTGGTTAAGATCTCTGACTTATGGTGGCAATTAGGTACCTGTGTGTGGGCTCGAATCCCGAAAGGTATCAGAATCTGAACTTTACTGAGAAAGTGTAATCCCAACTATAACATATGTTACATTTGATCACTTTCTAAATAGCATTGGTTGAACGTATTTGTAAAACCAGGCGGCAAAACTCTTTATACTCCCATAAGAAAGCTCGATTGTACATTTCCGACTGTATCTTAATCGTGTTTATGAATCACTATCAAATGTCGATACCAGGTGTTGAGCGTTTTCTGTCCTCTCGGTGCCACCCTTCATAAATACATGCAAAGGCTAGTCAAATACCTAATATGCTTCCTGGGACCCAGCACTAAAGGGCACTGGGTGGTCACAGTGTGTGGTCTGGCTTGTTGGAGGTCACAAGCCCCGTCAATGCGATTCAGTAATGACGCTATCACCTGGACCAAAGCTTGATTCACTTACTCACTCACTCACCGACACTCACGAATTTGGCTCCTATATCAGTAGTGAGTGGGTTTAGTTTTACGACGCTTTTAGCACTATTTCCTCAATATCACGGCGAGGGACACCAGAAATGGGCTTCACACCCTGTTCCCATTTGGTGAATCGAACCGGGTATTCGGCGTGACGAGCGAACGCTTTAACCACTAGACTACCCCACCGTCCCTCCTGCATCAGTAAATATCTGTACATGTCGATGTGTATATTGTAAACCATTAAGGTAGCTGGGCTTATGGCTCTGGTATTAGACTTACATGGAACTGGACAACGTTGACATGAACAGCTGTATTTGAATTAACTACACGCGTGGCCATGATGTAGGTAATGTTTGTATACTACTTTAGTCGCTGACGCGGGTGACAGCAGGGACAGTCTTCGGATCCCCAGTCACCACTCAATTTGCCTGTAGAGGTAAACCAGTCTATAGTGTGTTAAATTGCTTGTTTGAAATCAGTTTTTACGGCTCGTAAACACGTTTGCAGTATTGCGATTTTATCGCGACGACCTTTAAAATTTAGTACTTGAAGCCGGACACGAAACTATGGAATCCGAGAAGGAACATTGTCGCGTTGTCACATTGTCGCGTTGTCGCCCTCTCAAAAACATGCAAAATGAGGCGACATTTCGGCCATTTGTCGCATTGTCGCGATGTCGCATGTCGCGTTTTAAATAATATTTTTCTATTCCTCCAAAGGGCGACAATGCGACAAAGCGACAATTTTCAAGGTCAAAATATGTCGCGTTGTCCCATTGTTGCCTATCTATGATGCGTAAAAAAGCCTAAAAATGCGCGACAACGCGACAATGTCCCTTCCAGGATTCCATACGAAACCAAGGCCTGATAAAACGACTGGTACAGTCGGATACTTATAAAACAAAACATCTTACTGTCCACCCAGTCTACACTTTGTGCGGCTCTTATGAGTGAGTGAGTGAGTTAAAATCTAAAGTCACATCGGCAATAGTTCAGCCATATCGTGACTAGAATAGTTCATATGTTAATAATGGGTAACGTTATATGATAAAATCTGCCGCTAAAGGACAGTAGAACAACAATGATATCATAGTTAGAGATAGCACGTACCTAAAAGGGATATCACTATGGGAAACAATAGATGTTAAAACGGGTTAATGGTCTCCAGCAACTGTAGGTAGATCATCATGCTAGGGACCATGGGGATTTACAGTACCTTTGCTGCGTGGACCATACGGTTCTTATGAAAAGCATGGAATGCTTCCGACTGTTACAGACTTACGTCATATAGCTTCAATATTGCTTAGTACGCAAACAAACAAACAAACAAACAGACAATTATCTGGCAGAGTATGCGCCTGTCTATGCGAGCACTTTGCATATGTATTAGGATGTGTGCATCACTGTGTACAATGTATTGCATGCTTTGGTCTTACACAGTCAAACCAGTGATTGATAGCGTGAGCACAGATTGTTGGTTCAATATGGCGCTGTAGACGTGATGTCACAACTGGCAACTCGTAAAGATCCGCGTTAGAATTGAATCTACAGCAACCCACTGCTTGTGGTAAGAGGCGACTAACGGGATGAGGTGGTCAGACTCGTTGACTTGATTGATTCATCTCATCGTATCCCAGTTGCATGGATCAATGCTCATTTCAATCACATGATTGTCTGGTTTTTACAAACCGTTGTAATATATTGCTGGGACATTGCTGAATGGGGCGTTAAAGAACAACCGAACAATCACACACAACTGGCGGTTGATCATCCCAAGCAGCGCTCCCAACGCATTTTGTGAACAAGGGAACATCCAAGTATATGTCCATTTCTTACTAATAGTCACGAAGTCGTAGACTAACGCTGAATCTCTGAATCTATATATTTCTGATGGAAAAAATCATTTCTTTATAAATTCAAAAGGAGCCCCAGTGAGACGGGAAACTCAAGACCTGAGGAAATCTGGACTTTCTTCTTTGCAGAAAGGACTTGGCGGAAAGTACAATCATGTGGTTCAATGACTTTGATGCAGGATCACTTGGTATGAAGTCATAGTTCTCACGTTATTACATTGTTTTGTTGGGTATACAATTTGATTCAAAGTTGGGCAAAACTATTCATTTTGTTAACGCTGGAGGTGTATCATCCCAGATGCGCACGTTTCGTTTTAATATTCTGCAATCCATTTTTATTATAACCTTCTAACCCGGCCCGGCTTTGCTTAGCCCGGGTTTTAGGCATTCCCAATGTGAGGAGTCGTCGATTTGGACCTATAAATTATCAAACTGAAAAAAGGAAGGAAACAAGCCAGTCAGTATTATCCTCCAACATTATAACCTGGGAAGCTTGATAGACAGATCTAATCTACATGCAACCGCTTGAACGTCATATGCGCTGATATGATACAACAGACATTTACAGTACCTTTGCTGCGTGGACCATACGACTCTTATGAAAAGCATGGGATGCTTCCGACTGTTACAGACTAACGTCATAGAGCTTGAATATTGCTTAGTACGCAAACAAACAAACAAAAACAAACAAACAAACAAACAGACAATTATCTGGCAGAGTATGCGCATGTCTATGCGAGCACTTTGCATATGTATTAGGGTGTGTACATCACTGTGTACAATGTATTGTATGCTTTGGCCTTACACAGTCAAACCAGTGGTTGATAGCGTGAGCACAGATTGTTGGTTCAATATGGCGCTGTAGAAGTGATGTCACAACTGGCAAACTCGTAAAGATCCGGTTAGAATTGAATCTTCAGCAACCCACTGCTTGTTGTAAGAGGCGACTAACGGGATCGGGTGGTCAGACTCGTTGACTTGTTGACACATGTCATCGTATCCCAGTTGCGTGGATCAATGTTCATTTCAATCACATGATTGTCTGGTTTTTACAAACCGCCGTAATATTGCTGGGACATTGCTGATTGCGGCGTTAAAGAACAACCGAACAATCACACACAACTGGCAGTTGATCATCCCAAGCAGCGCTCCCAACGCTTTTTGTGAACAAAGGAACATCCAAGTATATCTCCATTTCTTACTAATAGTCACGAAGTCGTAGACTAACGCTGAATCTCTGAATCTTTATATTTCTGATGGAAAAAATCATTTCTTTATAAATTCAAAAGGAGCCCCAGTGAGACAGGAGACTCAAGACCTGAGGAAATCTGGACTTTCTTCTTTGCAGAAAGGACTTGGCGGAAAGTACAATCATGTGGTTCAATGACTTTGATGCAGGAACACTTGGTATGAAGTCATAGTTCTCACGTTATTACATTGTTTTGTTGGGTATACAATTTGATTCAAAGTTGGGCAAAACTATTCATATTTGTTAACGCTGGAGGTGTATCATCCCAGATGCGCACGTTTCGTTTTAATATTCTGTAATCCATTTTTATTATAACCTTCTAACCCGGCCCGGCTTTTCTTAGCCTGGGTTTTAGGCATTCCCCTTAGGCATTCCCAAGGAAGTCCTTACGTGAGGAGTCGTCGATTTGGACCTATAAATTATCAAACTGATAAAAAGGAAAGGAAACAAGCCAGTCAGTATTATCCTCACACATTATAACCTGGGAAGCTTAATAGACAGATCTAATCTACATGCAACCGCTTGTACGTCATATGCGCTGATATGATACAACAGACACCAAGCACTGTGCATAACAAACAATAGACTAGCATACCACATTATATTAGTTCCCCACCAGTGCGTCGTAAATTAAACAACAGACAGCTTGGTCAATATATTCAGCAGTCTGATGTCGCAACATCGCCTAGAATATGCCAGCTTCACAAACGATCAATGATTGGTTAAGTGCTTTTAAAGGTGATAACAGATAAGAGATTAACCGGAGCTGAGCTAAACCAGTACAGTTGGCCTCCCACGTAAACAATCTGATAAACCGTCATCGCTGCGCGGGATTTTTCGAGATAAGGACATCCACTGGAACAAAGCTCGTCCTGGGGCAACACCATGCACGTGTCTCTCGCTCTGACTGCAATCCTGTTCGGAGTTTTATCCTCTACCCCGAATGGCAGAGCTTTCAATCTGACAATTGTCCACACAAACGACATTCATGCACACTTTGAGCAGACGAACATTCATGGAGGCCCTTGCTCGGGGAAGGACGCAGCGGCCAACAAATGTTATGGCGGCTACCCCCGTATTGTGACCAAAGTCAAGGAATACCGGAACCTTAAACCCAACAATACCATTGTCATTGATGCCGGTGACCAGTACCAAGGAACGCTGTGGTTCTACTACTTCGGAGGAAATGTGACCGCGGAGTTTGTCAACTTACTCAACTACGACGCAATGGTGAGAGTCCTCAATGTCTTCTAAATCCTCAAATTATATTCTCCTGTGTGTTATCCTAGTATCCATGGTATTTTATTTACATCACATTTTGTCATTTTAAAATTATTCTTTCGTAATATGAAATTTGGGTCATAAAGAGATTAGCTGAGCCGATTAAATACGTTCTCGAAATATACATCATTTAAATCGAGCTATACTTGAGTGGCGTTCTCATATAACATTACCTCTCACTTGTGTTGTGTGCATTGAAACGCTTGTTGTACTTTGGCCAGAGATACTACCTCCCTTCAACTGTTGTCCGATAAAAAACTACAGTCTGTAGCTTGTAGCTGCAAAGAAAATATATAACACGTCGGATCATATGTTAAATGATCATAGTTTATGTCATGACCTCGATAAGCCGGAAACCTTTCGGACAATTTCTCCTGGGAACGTACATAAGTATACACCATACAAGTCCCTTATACATGATTTTAGCATGTGTCTTAGACTCTAGAGACACTGAAATTGAAACTAACTCAAATCTAGAATGACTTTGCAAGTGTAGAATGCCTTAGCGGTGGGACTGAAATTCAGCATTGTTTGGGAGCTCCTGTAAGATTTTGCTCTGGCACTGAATGTTAGTTTGCTTTGATTCAGTAACACACACACACACACACACACACACACACACACACACACACACACACACACACACACACACACACACACACACACACACACACACACGCACACACACACACTCACTCACACACTCTCACACACTCTCACACACACACTCTCACACACACATATATACGCACACACACACACTCACTCACACACATACACGCGTACACACACACACTCACACACTCACACATACACGCGTATACACACACACACACTCTCTCTCTCACTCATACACGCGTACACACACACGCTACACGCGTACACACACTCACGCGTACACTCTCACTCACTTACACACATATACACGCGTACACACACACACACACACACACACACTCTCTCACATATACACGCCTATACACACGTACACACACACACTCTATACTCACACACACACACACTCACTCACACATATACACGCGTACACACACACACACACACATATTCATACATCATACATACTAACGCAATAGTGTGTTTAGTTAGGTTAGCTAAACGTTAGTTTGGTTTTATTCAATAGTACGTGATGTATTAAGCGGGACAATAATTGCGTGATCGTTACCACCAGGACCAGTGGGGTTCCACTCATCAGATGTTGTCACAGCTACCAATGTTACATCTAACTCTTTACCCTGTTTATCTAATCTATCTGTACTTCCTGACACATCTACCACCTATTTCGTATCTCAAGTGTATGTCCACCAGTGCATCTATCCAGCTGCCAGTGCCTATATCTAACCCGATATCTAACCCCTGACTCTGTAGTAACCAATGTTTGATTGCAAAAGGGAGAGCGAAGGGATTGGTTATAATTACATGTGAGTGAGTGAGTTTGGATTTAGACCGCACTCAGCAATATTCCAGCGGAGGTCTGTAAATAATCGAGTCTGGACCAGACAATAAAGTGATCAACAGCATGAGCATCGATCTACGCAATTGGGAATCATTACATGTAATCACCATACCCCCACCTGTGTTCACAGTAACAAGATTCTCAGGTGCAGCTTCGTATAGATAACATGATTGTCTAGCCTCTACCCCAAAAGACTTTATGACGTGAAAATATTATAACACAAACGTACACACACACGCACGCGCGCGCGCACACCCACCCACACACAAATAACCACCATCCAACCTCACACACTTACACACATACTTTATCTCTCTCTCACTCACACACACACTCACACACACACGTACGCACGCTTGCATGCATTTACTGGAAATATGTGAATGCAGAGTATTTAGTAACGTTTAAACATTCTTCTTCACTGTGAGCTAAAAGGAGCATTGTCAGCCAAAGTTCTAGATTTGTCAGTTACCGGCTGTAATAGACTTCATACACTACTTGGATGTAAGGACATGAACCCGTTTTTTTAGGTGGGACCACCTAACGCTTTAACCACTAGGCTACCCAACCATCCCCTGTAATTTGTGAGATGGCGATGTGAGTATTTAGGTTATCACTTGTGATACCTACACTGAAATTACTTATCAAATACGCACATGATGCCTGTTCTGAGACCAGCCCGGCGACGCAAGTTGACTACAGCTATGCGAGGCCCCTACTTCAGGAGTTCTCACAAGGTTAACATAATCAAAGGTTGACTCACTGTCTCAAGTAATTGAATAGTCTCCTTATGTGCTGAAATCCCTCCCCAAAAGACCCATCCCATCAAAAACCGAACAAACAGAAAATGAATAAGAGGTTGTATTTCCATAATCACACGTTTTAAAAGAGGATCCAACAACAAAGGAGTTATGACACAGCCTTGTACGGTATTGTCATTTCCTGGAGAAAAACCTGCGTTACTACCGTTAGACCTTGCCAGTCGTGGGAAATGTAATGATTGGCGTTGAACTGGTATAAATTAATATGTAACATCACACGATAATGGTAGCGTCAACTCATACAGCATTCATTATCACGTCCATGTGTCCACTCATCTCCCGTATGTTGACTCACATTCCCCTGATAATTATCTTGACCATCAGAGAGAGCTGTGTTAGTATTGTATTTGATATCTGTCATGACGCATGTACAGCGCGTTATCAGTTAACGCTTTCAGAGGCTGTCAACATTTTATTTTATCTGTAATGACTTTTTGTATAGATAGTTTCATTATTAATCAGTGCAATCGTGTTCATACTGGCTTTCCGCGTAAAAAACAAAATGTGATTTTAGTTCAAAGATATGTTTTGTACAGCCGGTTTTTATTATTAATCAGGGCTGTCACGTTAAACGTGGCATTCGACGTATAAACTAAACCGTGATTTTATTTATAATGATTTTATGTGCTGACAGATTAATCACTAATCAGTGTGTGTGTGTGTGTGTGTGTGTGAGAGAGAGAGAGAGAGAGAGAGAGAGAGAGAGAGAGAGAGAGAGAGAGAGAGAGAGAGAGAGAGAGAGTAATAAGAGAGAGAGAGAGAGAGAGAGAGAGAGAGAGAATTAATAATAGATTTAGTTTTAGTTTTACGCCACTTTAATCAACAATTACGCTACCCCACCGCCTGCTAAGATAGAGAGGGGGCGGTGGGGTAGCCTAGTGGTTAAAGCGTCCGCTCGCCATGCTGAAGACCCGGGTTCGATTCCCCACATGGGTACAATGTGTGAAGCCCATTTCTGGTGTCCCCCGCCGCGATATTGCTGGAATATTGCTAAAAGCGGCGTAAAACTAAACTCACTCACTCACGAAAATAGAGAGATACTGGAATATGCACGGAGATTACGGCAATCACCACGTTAAATATTCCCTGTTAGTAGCTCATACTCATAACATAATACATCGTAATAATTCAACTGAATATCAAACCGTATCCAATTCCAGTTGGTTGTTAGGGCAACAGAGCTAGGTAAATTACACGCCAATAAGTTGACACACACCACTTGTTCTAATGGGTATCTATCACCCCCTGATTAGTAATGGACTGTGCGTCTTCGTCGGGTCAGGTCAACGCTTCCGTCTCTGTGTTCATGGGCACTCGTCAGTTGTCATGCAATCGATTTTCGCAATTGCAGTGTACTCAGTATTGTGCATTGTTCTGGAAACAATAACCGTGAATAATGTTTCCATTTCACATTCAAATACCACGTATAAACACCATGTTAACAATAACCAACATCAGTCTGGGATGTTCGTACTGTATGAACGTTGCTCTTTGTTAGCGTACAAAACTTACGATCGGATCTAAATCGAGTTTCTAAATCGACGGCATAACTGTGGAAAGTGTTTCAAATTTTAAATTTCGATATCGCGCATAAAATACATGTTAAAAATCATCGACGTAAACTGTGACCTTCGATTTTGTATGACAGGTACGTTTTTTCGGGTTGAAACGGTACAAAAATTATCGTAGGGTCTAAATCGTGACGACACCCACGTAAATATTTGTACCAAACAACTGCAAATATTGTCATCAACGATCACCTTAAAAATCCTAACCGCCTCCATGGTGTAGTGGTTAGAGCGTCTGCCCGGAGACCGGAAGGTCGCGGGTTTGATCCCCGACCGCGTCATACCAAAAGACGTTGAAATATTGTACTTGTTGGTCCCTGCCTGGCGCTCGGCATTAATGGGTACAACAAGGACTGGTCGGCTCGGAGTCAGTATACTGTGTCTGAGTGGGGTACTCATGCGTCACTGCGGTATGGTATCTCAGTGGGCTAGCACTATAAAACCAGCTTAAGTCTGGGCTAGTACAAGCAGCCGCACATACACATACACACGCATGCACGTCGTCATATGAGCGAAATATTCTCAAGCACGACGTTAAAACCCAATTTCACCTTACCTCACCTCACCTGTTGGGAATTGGTTTAAAATCTCATAATTGATGATTGGTTCGTTACCACCGATCAATCATCGAAAATGAGTACTTGATTTGGTTAGGGTCATTTATGAAATTTGTTAATGCACAAAAAATAAGGTAAAAACATGTAGTTCTTTGGGGGGATTTTTTTTTGGGCCAAATTTCACATCTTTAAAGGATGACTAGTATGTTAGGAACATAAATTTCTTAGGAGTCTTTAAGATAAAATTCAATCATGACTTGGAACGAGCTTGTAGTGCTTATGAAATGTAACTCACAAAACCAACCTCGTGAAACATACTGTTAATTAAAACAAGTGTTCCAGAATTGTTTGTGTTCGATTATGAGAAAACATGATCGATTGCAATCTTCGATTTATTTCAATTAATCGTACCACCACTAGTGCTTATTTGGTCCTTTGCCGATTGAAAGGTTTAATCTAATCTAGCGGTGGAGAAACTGAAGTACTATACGTTTTGCGTTTTACAGTAACCTTTGTGCCCTTCAAAGGTTGCTATACAAAGAAATAGTTCTATGAGTTCTATGTAGCCTCAACTAGATAGTATTGTTGCTAGATAATGTATTCATGTATAAATATACTAAGACGTATGTATCATAAGCTCTGTATGACTCCCAGGCAGTAACAAGGTTAGGATAGGTTCCCATCCATCTGTTGCTTGGCGTAGGAAGCGACAAACCTGGGCCTATTTGATAGGCTCGGTGATTAAGTTGGTTTGTTTGTTTGTTGTTTAACGCCGCACTCAGCAACATTCCAGCCATATGGCGGCGATCTGTAAATACTCGAGTCTGGACCTGACAATGCAGTGATTAACAACATGAGCATCGATCTAAGCAATTGGGAACCGATGACATGTGTCAACCAAGTCAGTGAGTCTGATCACCCGATCCTGTTAGTCCCCTCTTAAGACAACCATGAATTGCTGAAGACCAATTCTAACCCGGATCTTCACGGGTCCTTCACGGTGACGTGGTCTGTTGTGTGTCATTGTACACGATGGCGTGGTTGGTAGCCGACGTTGCCACAGAGAACAATCCGCGCGGTCGCGGATACGATGCCAGCCATGATGACCTCATCCCAACCAGGAATTCATTTGGATCCACTAACTTAATTAACTGAAATGTCCATTTAGTTCAGTGATACAACGTTGACTTCCCTGTTGTATCTGTTAGATATTATGAATGCTTCAGATGAAACATTTAGAAACACGTTAATTATGAAATAATATAGTAAATACACTGGAAACAATACAGTTATATTTCTGTCATGTAGAACCCTGATACTATCAAATATGTCAGTCTGTTCCTATATCAAACGTGTTTTATGCCTATGCTGAATAATTCTGTCTGTCATACATTAAAACAAACGTATTATGTCAGGAAGTTACATAATGAACTCTACTGGAAGAGTTTCAACAAGGCTACATTATGCAGATCATATAACAGTAGACATCGTCCATGACTTTACCACCCAAATGGGTCATTGCACGAAAACATGGATTTTCCTACCAGGTAGGGGTAGCGTAGTGTCTGGAGAATTCGTTCGTCAGGGTGAACTCATTTGAAGCCTCATTTTTTAAACTGCTGGATTATTGCATAACACAGCGGAAAGTCAAAGTTGTTCTCTCACATTACTGCCAGATAACATATTCTGACTAGAACGAATGCTTCGTTCAGGGTTGCTTGTATAAAGCAATTTTACCTCTAAGGCTGTCTTTGCTATACTTTAACAAAACGTGGTACGGAGACTGTTTTTCGTTACTATGCTTTGGAATTTCCAATGTTTGAAACCGTCTAATGTAGGAAGATGCTATTTTTAACTTATCCTACAGCACGTCCTCGTGGCATTGTACAGATGCTATGGATAAAATGATTATGATACCTTTCTGAAACCTTAATGTAATACTATGTGAAATTAGCCAGTTACTTCTATTTTATTATCCCCCGCCGCGCGTTTAGCGCGAAGCGGGGGATATAGTATTAGGCTCCGTCCGTCCGTCCGTCCGTCCGTACGTACGTACGAATTGGAATATCTTAAGAACCGTTCACTAGATTCTTTTCATAGTTGGTACCTAGGTTCATCATAGTATAAGAAAGGTCCAAGTCAGGTTTGGTGACCTTGACCTTCATTTCAAGATCGCAAGGGGACTTTAACGTTTCACCTGCATGTCAAAAACCGTTAACTGGATTTTCTTCATATTCAATACCAAGCTTTATCTGGGGAAGGCGCAGGGCCCAGTCCATTTTGGTGACCTTCACTTAATTTTCAAGGTCACAGAGACACTTTGAAGATTTCAGCATGTTAAATTGTATGTTAAGATAGTCAGCAAGATATCGCAAAATATATTCACAGGATTTTCTTCATATTTGACACAAGCTTCAACCACGGAAGGCCCAGGGCCCAGTCACTTTGGTGACATTCACGTAATTTTCAGGGTCACGACGACACTTTGAAGATTTCATCATGTTAACCTGAATTGTCAGCAAGATATTTCAAGAACGGTTCACCGGATTTTTTCTTCATAGACTTTCAAGACTTCCCTTGAATGTTTTCAATAAGCAATTTCTTTAGTACTAGTTTTGCATATTTCATACACTATGACATTCATGTCAAGGTCAAAGCCAGTCTTGAAAATATGTGTGTGTTTAAACAACTAAAGAGCAAGATATCAAGAGAGGTTGACTGGTTTGATTTGATAATTTGCGGCGGGGGATTATGTCATCTTAGTGACAATGCTTGTGTTAAAACTTGTATTTAATTTGATATGCACTTAACATGTACCCTTGTGTATCAGGCGTTGGGCAACCATGAGTTCGACCGAGGCATAAGTGGGCTACGCCCCTTTCTGGAGGAAGTCACAGTACCCGTCCTCAGCGCAAACATCAACGCAAGTTTGGAACCAAGCATCCAGGGGCTGTTCCACAAGAGCACCGTGGTGACCATAGGAGGTCAGAAGATCGGGGTCATAGGCTACACCACCACGGACACCCCGTCAATATCAAAAACTGGTATGCTGGGCACATCGGGGCACTTATATATAGTGGAAGAACAGGGCACATGTATGCAGTGTAATATCAGGGTACATATGAACAGTGGAGCATCAGGGCACATGTAGACAGTGGAACATCAGGGCACATGTAGACAGTGGAACATCAGGGCACATGTAGACAGTGGAACATCAGGGCACATATAAACAGTGATTAGGGCACGGGTATTCAGTGGAACATCAGGGCACATGTAGACAGTGGAACATCAGGGCACATGTAGACAGTGGAGCATCAGGGCACATGTAGACAGTGGAACATCAGGGCACATGTAGACAGTGGAACATCAGGGCACATGTAGACAGTGGAACATCAGGGCACATGTAGACAGTGGAACATCAGGGCACATGTATACGGTGGAACATCAGGGCCATAATGACAGTCAGGGCCCACATCACAGTGGAACACAGGGTAGACAGTGGAACATCAGGGCACATATATACAGTGGAACATAAGGACACATGTATGCAGTGGATCACCAGGAAACGTGTCCACAGGGGAATGGAACATGTAGACAGGGAACATCAGGGCACGTGTATGCAGTAGAACACAGGGCACATGTATACAGTGGAACATCAGGGCACATGTATACAGTGGAACATCAGGGCACATGTATACAGTGGAACATAAGGGCACGTGGAAACATGAGGACACGTGTATACAGTTAAAACATCAAGGCACATGTATACAGTGGAACATCAGGGCACGTGTATACATTGAATGATAGGCAGGTGTATACAGTGGAACATAAGGGCACATGTATACAGTGGAACATCAGGGCACATGTATACAAAGGAACACAGTGTATACAGTCAGGGCACATGTATACAGGAAAGTGGATGTATCAGTGGAACATCAGGGCACGTGTATACAGTGAAACATAAGGACACGTGTATATAGTGAAAACATCAGGACACATGTATACATTGAAACATCAGGACACATGTATACAGTGAAACATCAGGACACATGTATACAGTGAAACATCATGGCACGTGTATACAGTGGAACATCAGGACACATGTATACAGTGGAACATCATGGCACGTGCATATAGTGAAACATCAGGGCACGTGTATACGGGGAACATCAAGAACTTGTATACAGTGGAACATCAGGGCACGTGTATACATTGGAACATCAGGGTACATGTATACAGTGAAACATAAGGGCACGTGTATACAGTGGAACATCAGGACACATGTATACAGTGGAACATCAGGACACATGTATACAGTGAAACATCGGACACACATGTATACATAAGAGGCACGTACAGTGAAACATCAGGGCATGTGTATACATTGGAATCATCAGGGCACGTGCATACAGTGGAACATCAGGGCACATGTATAAATCTGGATCATCAGGAGCACGTGTATACAGTGGAACATCAGGGTACGTGTATACAGTGGAACATGAGGAGCATCGTATACAGTGGAACATCGCGTGTATACAGTGGAACATCAGGACACGTGTATACAGTGAAACATCAGGACACATGTATACAGTGAAACATCAGGACACATGTATACAGTGGAACATAAGGGCACGTGTATACAGTGGAACATCAGGGCATGTGTATACATTGAATCATCAGGGCACGTGCATACAGTGGAACATCAGGGCACGTGTATACATTGGATCATCAGGGCACGTGTATACAGTGGAACATCAGGGCACGTGTATACAGTGGAACATAAGGGCACGTGTATACAGTGGAACATCAGGACACGTGTATACAGTGGAACATCAGGACACATGTATGCAGTGGAGCATAAGGGCACATGTATACAATGAAACATCAGGGCACGTGTATATAGTGGAACATGAGGGCACAATACATTGAATCATCAGGGCACGTATACATTGAATCATCAGGTCACGTGTATACAGTGAAACATCAGGGCACATGTATACAGTGAAACATCACGTGCTTTAACTACTACCCCCCGCCCACACCATACGTGTAATTTATTCACCAATACATGAAAATAAGATTCGTAAAGTATAAAAAGTGCTTGACCTATTATTAAGTTTCCTTATTTTCACCCGCAGAAAAACTGATATTCGATCCCATCATTCCCCACATGAAGGCGCAAGTTGACGCCATGAAGACTCTGGTATCAACAAGATTATTGCTCTTGGCCATGCCGGCTATCAGTTTGACCGGAAGATGGCGCAGGAGGTGGAAGGCCTGGATATTGTTGTCGGTGGCCACAGCCATTCTTTTCTGTACACAGGTATCATATGATTGTGCTTGTTCGTTTTGTTGTGTAACGCCGCAATTATTCCAGCTTTTGTCGGCGATCTGTAAATAATCGGGTCTGGACCAGACACCCAGGTGACATCATGAGAATTAATGAACACAGTTGGATTCGATAGCATATATAAATAAAATGTTATGGAAGAAGAATGTTAATACCAAGCACTCAGCCTTCTTGTTAAGTTTCACTAGTCCTCTACCTTCAACCTTCATACCAGCACTGACACAGGAAGGAAGCAATTGAATGAGCCGTCGGTAGGTCATCACTTTAATATTTTTGGGTCGGCCCCAGTCGATCAGGAAATGAAAACTGAAACAAACAAAAATATTGCCCTGATAAGTAGTCCTTAGGAATGTCAAACACGAAATAAACATTAAGATGATGATGATTTTTATTGAGACACATGTACAATGTGAATGACACCCCCCCAATTTATATCCAGTGTAAGTGACCCGCCCTGCATTTCATGTACAAAATCAATGACACCCCCTTCCCATAATTTTTAAGCATAATTTTAAACTATATTTTTATGTACAAAATTGCTGATCCCCTAGTACAAGTGTACAAAATGGGTGCCCCCTAAAATAATCAGCATCTCCCCCTAAAATAATCAGCATCTCTCACACACACACACACACACACACACACACACACACACACACACACACACACACACACACACACACACACACACACACACACACACACACACACATAAATTAATGAACGGTTCCTTAGTTTGACGCATTCATGGTATCGAACCACCGATCTGCAGCACTTCGGGCAGAAGCTGTGTCCACTAGACCACTGGAGTAAATTACAGATGGTGAGATCTTTAGAGAAGCCATATTGTATTAAGTTAAATGGATGTTGTTCGTCTATTTTGTACAAGTATGGTTCTCCAGACTAATGCCTTTTCCAGATAAAATAATGATTTCAGATACATTTCAGTGGATTTGCTCCTTGATTTTTGTTCTCAAAATGAATCAGTGGATTGTCTGGTCAGACTCGAATGCCATCACTGAGTGCTGTATTAAATACTTAATTGAGTGATAAATTTATTAAAACTATAATGAGAGGATATATAGTACATACCTTCTGTAAGCATCCACGTTTCGCGTGACTGTAACAGTTGCTTCCATCTTGACCCATGTAATGTTAAAGGTTGCGTTAAGCCAACCCACTTACTCACATACACTAGTACTGTTATCAGTACGTAGTGAATAATTACAAACGATGACCCGCTGGTTCATTCAATCCAGACTAAAGTACGCAAAGGCAGCAGGTTGTAGACTAACATCTAGTCTCTGAAATGAACATATTTTACAGAAAAACTGTTCCCAAATTACATTCATAAATGTAACAAATGGGAGCCCAGAGACTTTCTCAATTTTCAAAAACAGTGGTAATCTAAACTTGCCACATATTCTAGTCTTGCATGGTCTTTATTGCGTATATTTAACAGACTATGGGTGGCGTAAAACCGCTACCGACAACGGAATCCTTCAGTTGTACGGTACACCAGGTATATTTCTCCACATGATTTGTGTTCTGATCCCAAGGTACACCCCCCATCAATAGAGAAGCCCGTGGGACCGTATCCAACCATAGTAACACAAGCCTCGGGGCAAAGGTCCCAGTGGTACAGGCCTACTGTTACAGCAAATTACATTGGGCATATAGAACTGGAATTCGACGACGATGGAAATGTTGTGGCATGGGAAGGAGGCCAATACTTCTAGATAAAGACACACCACAAGGTAAATCGTTAAACAATTATATCTCGTCAAAAAGTGCGCGTGAGTATAGGTTTACATCGCTTTTGGCAATATTTCAGCAATATCACGGCAGGAGACAACAGAAATGGGCTTCACACATTGTACCCATGTGGGGAATCGAACCCGGCGTGACGAGCGAACGTTTTACCCCACCGCCCCGCAGAGATGAGCTTCACACGTTAAACCCATCTAATAAACTCAATCCAGGACTTCCTGTGTCCAGCAAATGCACTGACACTACCACGCTGCTCCAAACCCGTGGAGTATTGGTGATATCTGACGTTATGGGTAATGTCAGATCCTTGATGCAAATTAGCTTTATTTGATGAATGTCTGATACAGGCAAACATATCCTGCTGCCAAAACCTCAAGGAAAACATTAAATACCTGCTTTGCAAATATACTCTCCCAATAAAGAAACGCATCTTGAAATAGCAATTTCATGTAGCAATGAATTAAAACGTGATTCATTTTACAAAGGTTTTGCTCTGTTTATGAGTCCTATGGTGTTTATGTTTGAAACATCACAACAAAACGCACCATCCGTAAAATAGCCGTATTTAACAGCATGATTTTCAATTTCGGCGTGTAGTGTCACAGAATACACAATTCACATGCAATGCACGTGAAAGTTGGGGATCAGATAGTCTCAATGATGGGTATAAAAGTTGATCGCTGTCTGTCGATTATTCACTGTATTTGGAATATTGTTGACGAACGCAAAATGCCACGTCTAAGTGAAGCCAACCGTCATATCGCCATTGGTTTGCTTGAAGCTGGCCAGTCTCAACGTGCAGTTGCCCGACGCATGAATGTTCACCAAAGCACCATTTCATGGCTCTGGGAGAGATATCGCCGGCAGAATGAGGTAGCAGATGCCCCTCGTAGTGGGCGACCTCGAGCGACCACTGCGGCGCAGGATCGCTACATCCGGGTACATCACCTGCGTCATCGAACAGCTACGGCGACCAGTACCGCTCGACAAATACCCGAATTGAGGAGGCTTTCTGCACAGACCGTCAGGAACAGGTTGAGAGAGGCTGGTTTACGTGCCAGAAGACCTTATTTTGGCCCTGTGCTTCGACAACAACATCGTCGACATCGAGTTCAATGGTGCACCAACGTTCAGGCCTGGAACCTACCGAATTGGCGTAGAATCTGGTTCAGTGATGAATCACGATTTCTTTTGAACGACGCGATGGAAGAATGCGGGTGTACAGACGTCGACGTGAACGTTTCGCCGACGCTTGCGTTCCCCAGGTGGACAGATTCGGCCGGAACAGTGTTATGATGTGGGGAACGATCACCTGCCGTAGGAGAAGTGATTTGGTGATGATCCAGGGCAACCTGACAGCTCAACGGTACTGTGACGAAATCCTACGCCCACACCTCCTTCCAATCATTGATCGCCAGAGGGAGTTGTTTCAACAGGACAATGCCAGGCCCCACACAGCACGTCACACTAGAGACTTCCTCCAGAACCACAACATCAATGTGCTCCCCTGGCCCTCAAGATCACCGGACTTAAACCCGATCGAACATCTGTGGGATGCCCTGGACAGACGGGTGCGACGCCGTAACCCTCAGCCCCAGACACTTCAGCAACTCGCACAGGCACTACAGGCAGAGTGGGCTGCGATTGGGCAACACGAGATTCTGAGACTTATTCGTTCGATGCCGAGGCGATGCCGTACAGTTCTGGATGCCCACGGTGGTCACACGAGGTATTGACTTCAGCGCCACCACAGTTCTCCATGTGACACTCAAACTGATTTTCCTCGAGTTGGTGCCAAAGACGGATAAGTCTGCATTCTCAGTGTGCAATTTCGCTACATTTCATTGACTCATAAAGCCTACAAGATGTTTAAAATAAACATAAAAATACAGTTGAAATTCCTATATGCGTTTTTTTTTTTGGGAAAGTATATTATGAGAGATTTCAAATATTTCTGAAAAAAAACAGTTACCATTTTGGGATAAAGAGAATCATACATGCAGACGCGATTTTTATTTGTTTAGAGGTGAGGTGAGGTGAGGGTGAAATTGGGTTTTACGTCGTGCTTGAGAATATTTCGCTCATATGACGACGTGCATGCGTGTGTATGTGTATGTGCGGCTGCTTGTACTAGCCCAGACTTAAGCTGGTTTTATAGTGCTAGCCCACTGAGATACCATGCCGCAGTGAAGCATGAATACCCCACTCAGACACATTATACTGACTCCGAGCCGACCAGTCCTTGTTGTACCCATTAATGCCGAGCGCCAGGCAGGGACCAACAAGTACCATATTTTATCATCTTTTGGTATGACGCGGTCGGGGATCGAACCCGCGACCTTCCGCTCTCCGGGCGGACGCTCTAACCACTACACCACGGAGGCGGTATATTTGTTTAGAACATGATGAACGTACATATCCCTTTATCTGATGTTCATCTGACCACACATAGCCGGACCGGTGGTGGCCATGTTCAGGTTTTAAAAAAGCCCAATAAAGCCATAACTGATCTGCTGGTCAGCGTGACCAATGTTGACAACCCATTTTCTTACGTTACCGCCATACGAGGTCACGACGTTATTTGATTTCATTAGTCTTCAATTTGCAACATCGTTATTCCCAAGTTCCTCACTTACTCCGCGAATATATATTATGTTGTTGGACCTCTAATTCCATTGACTGCATTGCAGATGCGGACACCCTGTTGAAGATGGAGCCCTGGGCAAAGCCGTGAACTCGTCCGCCCTGGCGGTTGTCGAGTGCAACTGACGTCTTCCTCCAGGAGATGAACACGACTGCCGCAAAATAGAGTGTAGCCTGGGTATGTCGAGGAGAATCTGTTTCGGGGAATACATGCATGTTTCGTTTGTTTTAGCAAATTTGACGAAAACCAGTTTATGTAATTTTTTTTTCTTCACGTTTTATAACATGGAACACGAATGGGTCATATTTTCCAAACGCTGAAATCACAGGGCCTTTCATCCTCGAATGAAAACGTATTGAGGGAAGATAGTTTTGGACGTTACTGTATTTTGTTGTCGTGGTTTTCTAGGTAATGTCTTCACAGACGCTATGATCTACAAGTTCCTTCAGCTTGAAAAATCCACGAGGACTACTGGACTTCCGTTCCTATAGCTCTCTGTAATGGAGGGATACGTTCGCCAATTGACATTGGTAAGTATATCATCATAACGTGCTTGTGTTATCGATGAGATGAACCATTCTCCCACAATTTATTCTCATTATCCGATAATTGAGTTCTTCATGTTTCAACTCTTTCAAGAGGAACTACTTTCGAACTCGAACTGTGTAATGCTATGCGTTCTATTGACTCAACGCTCCCATCAATTCCACGAGGAATTTCCAATGTGTCGTTGCAAACAATGGCTGTGAGTGATTAGGTACAGTATGTTAAACTAACTGGGCGATTCACTCAAACATTGTGACTCTGAAGACTCTTCACATTACATTAATTATTGTATATGACAAAGAAAATAATACCTTTAAGTGTCTTCGTATCCACCAAAGATTCGCGACCGCCTCCGTGGTGTAGTGGTCAGAGGGTCCGCCCGGAGAGCGGAAGGTCGCGGAGTTCGATCCCCGACCGCGTCATACCAAAAGACGTTAAAATATGGTACTAGTTGGTCCCCGCCTGGCTCGGCATTAATGGGTACAACAAGGACTGGTCGGCTCGGAGTCAGTATAATGTGTCTGAGTGGGATATTCCTGCTTCACTGCGGCATGGTATCTCAGTGGGCTAGCACTATCAAACCAGCTTCAGTCTAGGCTAGTACAAGCAGCCACACATACACATACACGCATGCACGTCGTCATATGAGCAAAGTATTTCTCAAGCACGACGTTAAACCAAATTTCACCTCACCTCACCTCACCCAAAGATTCGCTTAACACAATTTACACTAAACTATGTTTTTAACGAACACGGTTTCAACGAATTAACTTATATAACGACCTGCTGTTTTATCATTGTTGATCGGCATTCTAGAAGTTAGTTCAGTTTACTGTACATTCGTAAGATATTTACGATAAGGATACGTACTTCGTTATTAGTCTCTGTATAGACACACCCGTGACGTAACCCATGCTTCTTGTCCTCAGAGGCGACTAACGGGATCGGGTGGTCAGGCTCGCTGACATGGTTGACACATGTCATCTATCCCAATTGCGTCGATCGATGTTCATGCTGTTGATCACTGGCTTGTCTGGTCCAGACTCGATTTTTACAGACCGCAGCCATATAACTGGAATATTGCTGAGTACGGCGTTAAACAACAACAATCAGTCAACAATATATGTTTACCCGACCTACTGCCAATAGGTCAAGATGATCCTCTTTCGGGAGCAGTACACTACTTTCCTCTGTATAAGGATACCTGAGATGCGTTATGGCAAATGAAGTGCTCTTGACTTTATGTAATGAGATGTAACAGAACATAGGTAAAAAGACAGGGGATGTATATGGTTGATTCAACGAAAAGTGTACACAGCATGTTTGGGCCCATAACAATTTAGCATTACTATCTTCACTTATTTTCGGCACAATCGGCAGACGATTCGGGCCATATATAACATGACTATTTTTTATAAAACATTAACCTTATGGGGGACAAAAACAGGTCATTTTATTCATTTTGACATATATTTTACAAATGTTTTGTTGAAAACATATTGTGTGTTAAATACTAGTGAAACTGGATGAACAGAAGTGTATTAATCTGATTGCCAAATATTTCGTGATTAAATCCCTGAAATGATTTTGCCTAGGGCTTAATTCGTAATTTTGGTAATATGTTTTCAAGTGGTATTTTTTTTGCGTTACCTACGAATACAATTTTCAATGACTCTGTCAATTTATGTAAATGCAACACAAGGTTATGTTTTGTATTACTTTTACAGCATTAATATGTAAATTACTCAAATGCAGTGGCGTTACATAATATTTCTTACAAGTAATAATCAAGGTCTGATTTGGTAAAAACAATCACGTTACCTACAAATACCATTAAATATGTTGCTGTTTCCACAAATGAACACATTAGTGAATGATATCCTAAGTTCAAGTGCAAAGGCAACAAGGTATACGTGTGCCACATCTGAACATTTTCTGTGCTGTTTTACGAAGATATCACACAAAATAACCTGTATTCGTAGGTAAATTTTAACTCCCAAATGTTACATACAAGTACCAACAACTGATCACATTCAAATAGATTGGTGGAATGAGAACACGTGACATGTGTTCCATTTAGAAGTCATCGTAGATGAGACCAGACAATATCTGGGTGATTTGTAAGTGTATTTTACATTTTCTGTAATGGTTGGTTAAACGCATGGTTTTAATGCAGGCGAAATTACAATGAAAAGACGTGTTATCCGTGCTACCATTCATGAACGATATCGACCGGATCAAGCTGAAGGGAGAGTTCCTTCTGCAGGCCTTGGAACATTCCGTGTCCAGGTATCCGAAGTCTGAATCTGACGACCTTTTGGCGGCTTCTTACAAGTTTCAGGTACGTGTTAGTCTGTGTTAGTCTGTGTAGAGTTATGTCCCTTAGACCTGCCATATTGTTCTATGACTAGCCATCTATATCACACGTATTATTGTTTTTAAGATTTTCAGTTTCCTATGGAATCCTAGAAGGTACATTGTCGCGTCGAATTGTCGCGTTGTCGCCCTCACAAAAACAAGCAAAAGGTGTCAAAATTAACCAAAGCGCGACAATGTGACAACGCGACATTTTGGCCATTTGTCGTATTGTCGCGCTTTGAATAATATTTTTGTTCATTCAAAGAGCGACAATGCGACATCGCAACACGTTTTCAAAGTCAAAATTTGTTGCGTTGTCGCCCCATGTTATATGTGTAAAAAGCCTTAAAATGCGTGACAACGCGACAATGTCCCTTCCAGGATTCCATTGTTTCCCAAACGTAGTAAATACCTCAGTCCTGCATCACTATCATCTGAGGGGCTTCATCTCACATGAGGCTGACAAACTATGGAATTAACAAATGGTCCACTGTTGTACTAGAGTCATGTACACTGAAATGTGGTGAAGTCGAATTCAGCAATACATCGAGTAATACCATGTTTGAGACGATTATATGGTCTTTAACTAAAAATGACTTAATGCAGATGGATAAATCTCAACGAGCAGAACAGAGAATTAAAAGAAGGATCATTTTGAAAGTATGAACTGTGTTCCAGGTTTGGTAGTGGCATATGACGTCAGCAAACCAGTTGGCAGCCGAGTGGTTGATGTCAAAGTACGCTGTTCCAACTGCACAGTTCCCAGGTTCGATCCCCTTGACAAAGAAACGTTGTACACCATTGCACTGCCGACCTTCACAGCTGGCGGGGGCGACGGCTACACCGTCATACGCGACAACAAGATACAAATGCCACCAATTGGTAAGTTCTCTTTAAAATTGGTGTTTATTATATACGCTGCCCTTGTGGTGGGTGAGTGAATTTATTTTTACGCCGCTTTTAGCAATATTTTACCAATATCTCGGGGCCACCAGAAGTGGGCTTCACTCATTGCTCCCATGTGGGAATCGAACCCGGGTCATCGGCATGACGAACGAACGCTTTAACCACACGGCTACCCCAACGCCCTTGTATGTATTCAGCTTAAACTATTTTTTCTCCATTTGTAGTACATATAGAGGATTCTTCATCACGTGTGTTTTCTTAACACAGAACTCTACAGTAGGGAATATCACGCGAGTCTTCGTTAATCGGGATTTGCCGAACCTTTTGCAAATTATATTTATTTATCATTTTCACATTACTATTTCGCTTTTATGAAACAAATGCTCCCAAGTCGCCTTCAGAAACGTGACGAATCATTACGTATTGCGTGTAGTAGTGACAGATACTTTCCGGTGAACCAAAATAAACGACCTGTTCACTACATTTTCGTATATTCATTCGCTGAGAAAAGAGGATATTCAAGTTAAAAAAGCTGGCACAGAGATTGGCAGAATAAATTCAACTTAAATAAGAACAGCGATTCTGTATCAATTGATTACATGGTATAATTTCCTGTTTACCTACTTTGCATATCAAATTTGCAGACTTATGTCATACTGGGTTTTATGTCATAAGCTAACGTCACGGATAAATGCTTCAGTTAAATGATATAGTCCCTCAAGGATATATATTAATTTTCTTTCTTTCCAGGGGCTCTTGACTCGGATGTATTTGTCAACTATGTGAAGAAATTTTTCCCTTGACCCAGGGTGTAGAAGGCCGTATTCGTTTTGTGACGGAACCAGATTGTGGCGTGAATGGTGGCGTCGTAACTTCCGCAAAGCTGTCAGTCATCGTTAGTGTGATATTGATACTTATGTGTAATTACCTTTAGTTGAACCAAGGTGCATTCTCTTCAGTGACATTGGAAATCCTGAGAAAACATGAGGCAACATGAGTGTCACAAATGTATTTTACTAAACCGGAATTCCTCGTTATTTGAATTGTTTTGTTTACTTTTTCCAGTTTCGAATTTCCCTCGTTATATAGTTTATATTTGCGTAAGTTGATTATTTTCTCGTTACTTGAAATCAATTTGTCCTCGGTGCTACGACTATTTTCTCGTTATTGCAATAAAAATTGTTATTAGTTTGTTAGTTTAAGATATGAGAAATTTTGGGTTGAAATTTTATGATGCCAAAGAAACCACTAGGCTTTTGTCATTCGAACCCATATAGACCTTCTTCGGTTGCAATCGTTGGAACGTTTGTAGAAAACGTCCAATCGAACATAACCGACCAAGAAAATCTCGATCGAAGGAACGTGTGCGTTGAACAATGTACATTTGGTATGTTTCCTGGTCTAGTGTCGAAAACATCTGGTGTCATCTCGCATACACAATGGCTTTTCGAAGAGTTACATATTAAGCACATCTCGTCAGGTAAATGTATTCCAGTTACAAAGAATCCCTTTAGCTACGAATGATACAATGATCTTCATAACAAAGCCTTAGACGGAAACGTCAATAAAGCTATATCTATTACTCGAACTGTGTATATCTTGAGGTAAGTACATCAGTATAATGATACATCAACTGACTCAAGCAGATTGAAAAGTTAACGTTAATGTTCATTCTGATGTGTATCATTCATGCTTTGTACATTACCGTCGCTACTATGTCCATGTGCTGTCATTCCCTAAATTTGTGTATGAGCATATAGATTGTTACCATATATATCTGTCGATATCTACATCTGAATACATCACTTTAATGGCCTGAGACAGCTATGAACATGTCTATTTGAGAAAGTAGATACGGATGCCAATAACACTCGGTTTTGCTTTCAAGGGTAAATCTGAGTTTACATATGGACCATTGTTATGTTTATTCAATGTTGAATTTGAGAAGAAGACAAACACTGAAGATGCATTTGCCGCTGAATCGCGCTAAATCAAACCGATCCCGATCACGGCCCGGTTGCACAAAACGAGCTCAGTGCTATGACTGTTTTGAGTCTGTAGTACAGAGAGCTTGGGACATTGTACACAGTGCTAGTCATTATTTTCTTTTCAAAAGTCGATTATTCTAAGACAGTCTTATAATGACTGAGTGCGGCGTAAAATAACAATCGCTAGACTGAAGATGACGTGTATTTGCATTCTGTAGACACATGAGGTTTTGTGATTAATTGTATCATAAATTCAAGCATTTCAAACGCACACATTTCCGTTGTCTGTAACAGTTCAGATTTGACTTGAGTTTTACACAATATCATTATTTTGTTAGTTGTACAGTTATATTTTTCATTAAACCCTTAAATTAAAGAAAAAACGTGCCACAAACATGGAAGGGGGTGGGGGGGGCTGAATAGTCAAAAATGGTTATATCATGAAATTCAAACAGTTTAAATGAGTGAGTGGGTCTGGTTTTACGCCGCTTTCTCAATATCACAGTTGGGGACGCCAGTAATGGGCTTCATGCTTGTGGTGAATCAAACCCGCGCGTCTTCAGCTTGAGTAGCGACCGACTAGGCTATCCCACTGCCCTAACGTATGCATGAACTCGGCATAAACGCACATGAGACAGAAACAATAGTGAAACATATACAAAATGGAATTGTGAGCGGATACAGCAGTGAATAGTTTCTCTTCCTCTTTATGAGAGGGGCGGTGAGGTAGCACAGTGGTTAAAGCCTTCGCTCGTCACGAAGACCCGGGCTCGATTCCCCGCATGGGTATAATGTGCGAAGCCCATGAAGTCCCCCGCCGTGATATTGGTGGAGTATTGCTAAAAGCGCCGTAAAACTAAACTGACTCACTCTTCCTTTTTATAACTTTGCTCATTCTATTTGTAGCAGTTGAGTCTGAGGGTTTAAAGGTAATCATATGGAACATTCATGCAATTCTAAGTTTGTCTGCAGTTGTCTGTAACATTATGGTATATGGGTTTTATATTGCCAGTTGTATTCTGAACCCCGAAATTCACTAACCGTGTTGGATAGATTTGGGACAATGATAAGACGGAGACACTAAGACAGTGTGTGCGGAATCCTGTATCTCGCCTGCCACAGCTGACCTCAGCCAAGCAAAACACTGTGCCTTTCTTGATATGACATTCTGAAGGACACATATTGTGATCATATTTTTATACCTTTAAATTTGAATTACCAATGTAATGTTCTCATTCTAATTATCCACCTGAAGAAGGGGCAAGAACTGGCCTAGAAACACCGTGGTAAACAAATAAAGAAGCCATTATCCATAAGATTTCTCTTTATTACTACACCAATTTCTAAATGCCTTTGAAGAATTTCACATATATTGTCATCGTATTTTTATACCTTTAAATTTGAATTATCAATGTAATGTTCTATTTTCAATAGCGTGAATAGGACTTTTGAGTAATAGAATTTATGTTGTATGTGTGGTAGATATAATTTCATATTCCCGATAACGTATTAGTATTTAAACGTATTTGAACACCGAAATGTGTGCCTTCGTTAGAAGGTTTACGGTAGTCATGACTATGTGCCTGTTCGTGACAAGACAACCTCGGCGGCCATATGGCCTTAATGGGCGACTACGCACATTTTGTGTGGAGATGGCGTGTTAACAAATTCTACAAGTCAAGGAGGTTATCACACAGAAGTCTGAAACAGTCTGTAAGTAGAAGACATAAAGTGAACTGAAACTAGTATTGTTCATATTGTTTAGTATGCCTGTGTTCATTAAACAGTTTGGGAACATTGCAATATTGTATTTTATAATTCTTTTGACATGTTAGTGAAGACACGATACTGTGCTGCCTCCGTGTTAATGCCTCGCCATGTTTTCTTGTCCGCTGTTTGTATGATAGATATTTTGAGGTGAAGCCTTTCAGATGAGGCAAGTCATGTTTCTACCGTTTCCAGACCACGAGCAACGCAATTGTAAAGCCATGAATCAGGATTTTCAAACTTAATGAAGATAGATAGAAGGTCCGCAATTCCTTACAACGTGTGAATCCTTAAAGGCACTATTTCACACTGCACTTCTCTGAACATGAATAATCATCTCTCTCAACAGTACTAACTATCTGCCCTCAGGGAAGTTTTCGATGTACGGAACAACTGTTTACATCCCATATATGGCAAGTGTTCTCTGTTTGGAAGCTGTTCGCCTCGAAGTTTCAATTATCGATTTCAGGCAAGTCGTAAGGGATAATAAGTCTTTTATTGCATCAATAGGACGCTAAAGAGTGAGTGCATATGTCCCGATATATATGATATAGCCCAAAATATGGTCGAAAATGTGTGAAATTGTGCCTTTAAAACGTCCTTTAAGCCATGTAAACTTGTTATCACAACCATTGTTTTCCCCATCTGTATGTATATTCGGCTGTATTATGATGGAATAATAACTACAATTAAAATATTACACAAGCGTCAACGCATTTCATTCAATGGGTGCGTGTATGCGTGTGTGCGTGTGTTGATTGACCTGTTTCTCCTAAGACACTTACTAGATTTCCACCAGTGCTGTAACTCAGGGCACATGGGTTACGATAAAACCACGACCACACACAGATAGAGTGAGTGAGTGAGTTTAAGTTTACGCCGTTTGTAGCAATATTCCAGCAATATCACACTAGAAAAGGCTTCACACATTGTACCCATGTGGGGAATCGAACCCACTAGGCTACCCCCACCTCCCACGCACAGATAGAGATGAAGATGTTTTGGTACACATGTTCGCCATCAGCGAATCCTGGCGCGACAAAGCGAAGTAACTGTGCAGACTTCTCGCGTCCTTTAACGTTTCAAGAAATATGCATACCCTTGAAATAGTAAGTTAACCTAGAAATATATACGCAAAAGATGAAGCGTGAAACCAACAAACAACAATTATACGAACAACAATTGTATTCTATAATTTCATAGGTTTACAAAAATCATACACATTACGGTAAAGTAATTATATGGTGTCAGTACACAAGACAGTGTAATACAAAACTCAATGACAGTACAACGGCGGCATGAAAAGGATAACGGTGGTAATAGAAGTAAAGTATGTGACTATAGTATTCACCTAGCAGAGTGAGTGAGTTAGTTTAGTTTTACGCCTCTTTTTAGCAATATTCCAGCAATATCACGACGGAGGACACTAGAAATGGGCTTCACACATTGTACCTATCTGGGTAATCGAACCCGGGTCTTCGTCGTGACGAGCGAACGCTTGAACCACTAAGCTACCCCACCGCCCCGATGAATCCTGTGAAATCATGTTCATTATTGAACCCGGGACCCTGTATTGTTTGACAGCAATTTGATTGTCAAGATTCAGGAAAAGCATGGCAAATATGAAGAACTAGCTTGCAAAAAGACACATGTCGTGTACCAAGTTGTCCTGCTCCCTGCTGTTCTAGATACCTTAGGGTTGGTACCTCCCAATCTGACACACTGGACAATGCATAAGGCTACAGTATTGAGATGACCTCACGCAACTTCCGTACCAGGGTCCCGATTCACGATATTCGTAAGCCAATGTTAAACTATAGAGTTACGACAGGTCGTAACGTTACGAACGCTTTGTGGATCGGGGCCCAGAAGTCCAGTTCGCAGTCTGGGCTGTGCGTTAAGGAGGCAAGGACCCTGGGCTGATGATGAGCCTAACTAGCCAATCTGGTCCATCATCTGGACCCTCTTTGCTGCATATATTCATTTTATTCTGTAAATTATATAACTACTAATAGCGACGTATTCATCATGTAGGATGGAGATTCAACGTTAATTTTATAAAGATCACTTCGTAGTTTGCTGTGAAGGAATTGGCAAGAGAGTTGTTAGAGACACATAGAAACATGGTTTTATTTCAGAAAATGTTTCATATTTGAACATCGATATCATCCACGTGTTTCATTGCTGTAGATGTAGGAGTATACATTCATATCACCATTCAGCTTTCCCTGTGGCACAATATAAACGTTATTACATGTGTACAAGACGTTTTCGATTACGATGAAGTATTTTAACACTATATGTTTCACACAACACACAATTCAGCAGTACATAATCGTACTCCAGAATACCTTGTTAAGTGTTATACGAACAATGCATTCATCTATAATGACATTGATTCATCGCAGGATGCACATCATAACTTGTTTCTGGCTATTCCCATCTAACTTCTTTGAGTGGCATTTTAGAAGTTGGAGGTGAGGTGAGGTGAGGTGAAATTGGGTTTAACGTCGTGCTTGAGAATATTTCGCTCATATGACGACGTGCATGCGTGTGTATATGTATGTGCGGCTGCTTGTACTAGCCCAGACTTAAGCTGGTTTTATAGTGCTAGCCCACTGAGATACCATGCCGCAGTGAAGCATGAATACCCCACTCAGACACAGTATACTGACTCCGAGCCGACCAGTCCTTGTTGTACCCATTAATGCCGAGCGCCAGGCAGGGACCAACAAGTACCATATTTTAACGTCTTTTGGTATGACGCGGTCGGGGATCGAACCCGCGACCTTCCGCTCTCCTTAGAAGTATATGGATGACAACTTCTTTTATTCTAAACATAAAAATAATTATTGAAATAAGCCATGTTGTTTGGTCTGACAGTAATGCACATAAGCGAGGTACTCATGTTCATTAAATAAGAAAGTAACACGTCACAATTTAATTCTGACTCACAAAAGTCCAGAAACTCTCCGCACTGTGAGCACTTTCTGACAAGGGATTTGACCAAATTAAACATGCAGTTGTTATGAACATATGCCAAGGATGAAAAAATAAAAAAAAATTTTTTCGAAAACTTTAAATTTAAACTCGCTCGCCCATGGGCGAACAGTGGCCCATGGGCCGGCTCATGGGCGAGAATGTTTAATTTCGATCAGAATTCATGTTTTGGAGGTTGTAAATGAATGAGTGTATGTTTATAAGCATCATGTCACAAATTTCAACTCATATTGACTTAAATCGATTAAACTAGAGCGATATTAAAAAATCTCGCCCATGGGCGAAAAATATGCTGGCCCATGGGCGAGAATGTTTAATTTCGATCAGAATTCATGTTTTGGAGGTTATAAATGAATGAATGTATGTTTATAAGCATCATGACACAAATTTCAACTCATTTTGACTTAATTCGACTAACTTAGAGCGATATTACAAAATCTCGCCCATGGGCGAAAAAATATGTTAGCCCATGGGCGAGAATATTTACTTTTACTCAAAATACATGTTTTTCCATGTTTTGAAGGTTGTAAATGAATGAGTGTATGTTTATAAGCATCATGTCACAAATTTCAACTCATATTGACTTAAATCGATTAAATTAGAGCGATATTAAAAATCTCGCCCATGGGCGAAAAATATGTTGGCCCATGGGCGAGAATGTAGCATTTCGATCAGAATTCATGTTTTGGAGGTTATAAATGAATGAATGTATGTTTATAAGCATCATGACACAAATTTCAACTCATTTTGACTTAATTCGACTAACTTAGAGCGATATTAAAAAATCTCGCCCATGGGCGAAAAATATGTTGGCCCATGGGCGAGAATGTATCATTTCGATCAGAATTCATGTTTTGGAGGTTGTAAATGAATGGGTGTATGTTTATAAGCATCATGTCACAAATTTCAACTCATTTTGACTTAATTCGACTAACTTAGAACAATATTTAGAAATCTCGCCCATGGGCAAAGATATGTTGGCCCATGGGCGAGAATATTGACTTTTACTCAAAATACATGTTTTTCCATGTTTTGGATTTTGTAAAATGAATGCGTGTATACTTATGGGTATCATGAAACAAATTTCAACTCATTTTGACTTAATTCGACTAACTTAGGGCGACATTAAAAATCTCGCCCATTGGCGAGAATATTTACTTTTACTCAAAATACATGTTTTCCCATGTTTTGGATGTTGTAAATGAATGAGTGTATGTTTATAAGCATCATGACACAAATTTCAACTCATTTTGACTTAATTCGACTAACTTGGGGCGATATTACAAAATCTCGCCCATGGGCGAAAAATATGTTAGCCCATGGGCGAGAATATTTACTTTACTCAAAATACATGTTTTTCCATGTTTTGAAGGTTGTAAATGAATGAGTGTATGTTTATAAGCATCATGTCACAAATTTCAACTCATATTGACTTAAATCGATTAAATTAGAGCGATATTAAAAATCTCGCCCATGGGCGAAAAATATGTTGGCCCATGGGCGAGAATGTAGCATTTCGATCAGAATTCATGTTTTGGAGGTTATAAATGAATGAATGTATGTTTATAAGCATCATGACACAAATTTCAACTCATTTTGACTTAATTCGACTAACTTAGAGCGATATTAAAAAATCTCGCCCATGGGCGAAAAAATATGTTGGCCCATGGGCGAGAATGTAGCATTTCGATCAGAATTCATGTCTTGGATGTTGTAAATGAATGGGTGTATGTTTATAAGCATCATGTCACAAATTTCAACTCATTTTGACTTAATTCGACTAACTTAGAACAATATTTAGAAATCTCGCCCATGGGCAAAAGATATGTTGGCCCATGGGCGAGAATGTTCGACTTTTACTCAAAATACATGTTTTCCATGTTTTGGATTTTGTAAATGAATGCGTGTATACTTATGGGTATCATGAAACAAATTTCAACTCATTTTGACTTAATTCGACTAACTTAGGGCGACATTTAAAAATCTCGCCCATTGGCGAGAATATTTACTTTTACTTTACTCAAAATACATGT